AATAAAGAATAATCAAGCATTGAATGAGTGTATCCCCTTGAACACAAAGCTTCAGTTAGTTTCTCATACCATTGTCTACTTGCTTGTTTAAGCCCATACAAGGACTTGGTCAATTTGCACAGTAAGCCTGGTGTATCCACTACTAGACCTGGTGGTATCTCTATATACACTTCTTCATGGAGATCCCCATGAAGAAAGGCATTATTTACATCTAATTCACCCCTTTTTGACTGTTGTTGCTATTAAAGTCCTAACAGTTGTCATTTTTACTACATGTGAGAAAGTTTCTGTGTAGTCTATCCCAGCTTGTTGTGTATATCCCTTAACTACTAATCTAGCTTTGAATCTCTCCACACTCCCATCTGCCTTATGTTTGATCTTATATACCCATTTACACCCAATTGCCCTCTTTCCAGTTGGAAGAGGAACTAGATCCCAGGTTTTATTTGCATACAATGCTTGGAATTCTTGAGTCATTGCTGCTTGCCAGGCAGGTTTTACAGCAGCTTCCTCATATGAGCTAGGTTCACATTCATGTGGACTAGTTCCTATCAATTGCTGACAACTGGAATGTATTTCATTAGGTGAACTAACAAGAGGTTTGGGAGCAGATGTATTGAAGGAAAAAGACTGTGTGCTTTGACTATCATTTGGAGAAGTTGATTGGTTTTGATGAGTTTGATGAAGTCTGGGAAGTGCACACTCATAATCTTTAAGATAGGTAGGTACTTTCAAGGTTTTAGAGGGTCTGTTCTGATTTGGGATTGAAATCCCTTGATTCTGGATTGTAACAGCAGGGCTGTGAGGTGTATCAGAAGGAGTATTATCTGGAGAGTCAACAATTGGAAAATTTCTTGATGTTTGGCTTCCTAGGGGTGAGTGAGAATGTCTGGAGTTGTCATTATAAGGATTGGATGTGGATGAGGAAGGCTCATGTCAGGGCAGGTTCTCAGGTGACACTTCATGGTGAGCATTGTCATTTACAGGATGTGGAATACTACTTATGTTACTGGGAGAAAACAACTCCTCTGACAAGCATGATTTCATTTGGGGAAATAAAGGAAAGATCTTGTCTGACTCAATGAACATAGCAAATGGGAATACACTCTCATGGAACACTACATCTCTGGAAACACTTATCTTCTTAGTGGCCAGATTTAGTACCTTGTAGCCTTTTGTCCCAAAAGGATATCCCACAAAAACATGTGGAGTAGCTCTTGGTTCAAACTTATCTTTGTGTGTTTTGAGAGTGGTAGGGAAGCATAAACAGCCAAAGCTTCTGAGATGAGAATAACTTGGCTTTTTCTGGTACAGAAGTTCAAAAGGACACTTTTATTTGAGTGATGAAGAGGGCAGTCTGTTTATCAGGTAGGTAGAGGTCAGAATACATTCTCCCCAATACTGCATGGGTAACTTAGACTGATAGAGTAGGGCCCTAGCTGTTTCTAACAAATATTTGTGTTTCCTTTCCACCACACCATTTTGTTGTGGTGTGTATGGACATGCTCTTTGATGTATAATGCCCTTGGATTGTAAGAATGAAGTGGTCTCTTGTTAGTGAACTCAAGGCCAATGTCTGTTCTTATAGTTTTGATACTGGTACTGAATTGTTGCTCTACCTTGGTAAAGAAGGCCTTAATGGTGTGCAGAGCATTGCTCTTACAACTTAACAAGTGGGTCCATGTGGACCTGCTGTAATCATCCACAAAGGTAATGAAATATTTGTATTTGTTATGTGTTGGAACATGGTATGGGCCCCACAAGTCAATGTGTAGTAGTTCAAAGGGTTTATTGGTTATTGTTGTTCTTTCTGGGAAAGACAGCCTGGCTTGTCTTGCCATTGGACAAATAGGGCAAAGAAAAGGTTGTTTGGGTGCAAAGGCAACAGGTATAGAGGAAATATCTTTCATTTTGACAAAAGGTACATGTCCTAATCTGTTATGCCACAAAAGATCAAGTAAAGATTCTGTAGTAGATGAATTACCAGATAAAGGTGACTCACTTTTATTTCTTGAACTACTTACAGTTGAACCATTTGTATTACTACTACAAGATGGGGTAACCATGGTGGAAGTAACAGGAACAGTAGGAACTACTTTACTAGTACTAACTAACTGAATAGAAGGAATTGAACTAGATGTCCTAACTGCAAAGTCTATATTACTCTCATTATTGGAAAAACATGGAAAAGATGTACTAGAAGAATTAGAGAGGGTTGAACCAGTGTTGTAGTTGCTTGAACTGTGTAGATATAGACCAGTCTTGGCTTTACCAATCTCCAGTGGCCTCTTCAGTGAAGGACCCTGTAGAAGAATACAGATGTACTTGGTGAATACTACAATACAATCAAGTTGAACTGTCAATGAATGGACTGATATCAGATTGAACTTAAAATTGGGAACAAAAAGGACCTTTTTGAGACTGAATTTTGGACTTAGGATTACATCACCAATCAGTGTCACCTTAACCTTATAGCCATTTGGCAGGGTGACTAAGTATGGATATACTAAGGTTTTAACATTGGTCAGGATTGATTTGTTATGTGTCATGTGATTTGTGGCTCCGGAATCAAGGATCCAAGTGTCAGCATTTGAACTAGAACTATCACACAAATGATTATTAGAGTCAAAATGAGTAGAGCATGCTGAAGTACCTGCAAAGTTCACAGCTCCTCCATTGATGCAATTGTTTGTGGACTTTTCTGCTCCTCCTTGAAAGCTTTCCAGAATGGTGAGTAGTTGACCATATTGTTCTTTAGTCAAGCTATGCATGTGTCGATTTTGTTCTTGTTCTTGAGGGCCATTGCCATCATCCTTTACTGTGTCAGCTTCATTTGATGGTCCAAATACATTTCCAGCGATTCTTCTTCCCTTATTGAACCTGGAATTCTGTGGGAATCCATGAAGTTTGTAGCACTTGTCCTTAGTGTGCCCTGGCCTCTTGCAGTAGTCACAAAATGGTCTGGGTTTGCTGTTAAATTGGTTTGACTTATATCCACTGTATGTGTTGTTATTTCCCTGTTGATTGTAGTTAGTTCTGAAATTGCCATTTCCTTATCCACTCACATTTAAAGTTGCAGAGTCCATTGAGAAATTATTATTTGGCTTGACTTCCCTCTACTTCTCCTCTTGAATGAGAGTAGAGAAAGCTTGGGCTATTGTTGGGAGAGGGTTCATCATCAGAATATTGCCTCTCACGACAATATACACTTCATTTAACCCCATCAGGAACTGAATTAATCCTCTATCCTGTTCAGCTTTGTGTATATTTTCTCTTGCTCCACAGGTGCATTTGCAAGCACATTTGGCATGAACATTCAGAGTATTAAGTTCTTCCCAAAGTTTCTTCATTTTCGTATAGTATCCAGTGATATCCAGACTTCCTTGGCTCAGATCATTAATCTCTTTTTGTAGCTGATACAACTTGGCCCCATTGGTTTGATCATACCTGTCCTCTAGTTCTTGCCAAAGCTCCTTAGCATCATTGACGTATTGTAAGTTGTCCGCTAGATCCTTAGACAGTGAGTTTAAGATCCATGAAGTTACCATATCGTCGCATCGCTCCCATTGATCTAGATCTGCCGAGTCAGAGTCTGGCTTCTTACATTTTCCAGTAATAAACCCTAATTTGTTTTTCACGGAGAGTGCCCTGAGGATTCCTCTTCTCCATGATCTATAACCAGTTCCGTCAAAGGCTATCGGAACTAGCATAGATCCAGCGCTTTCCGATGGATGCATGTATAATGGACTTGTTGAATCTAGGGTTTTGTTCGTCGCTGGGGTCACTGGAGCATCGTTTTCTCCGGCCATGATTCGAATTGACTCGGATGAAGTGGTTATCGATGAAGATGAATTACTAGGAATGACTGACTAACTGATCGATTTCCACACAGAAACCCTAATTCCCAAAGACGAGTGAATTTCTAAATTTGTAAGCAGAGGAATGAGAAATTGAGACGAGATGAGACTTCAGATCGTCATCCCGCTCTGATACCATGTAAAAACTTGGAAACAACTGAAGAAAGAAAGGATGGGCTCAACTCGAGCTCTAATGGCGGATGATGTTGTACTGTCGAAGAGAGAGAGGAGCAGTTACATGAATGAACCTTCTAGAAAGAAGGAGCTACTTTTCTTCATTATTTCAACTCATTAAAAAAAAGGAAAAATACAGAGGTAATGTCTTATTTATAGTAGATGTACATCTGCTCAAGAATTAACTAACTACTTAATGCTAATACAAGTGTAAAAGAATGAAAATAACCAATAATCTCAACATGTTGAGTTGTCCCACATCGGTGGGAGTTGAGGTCCTTGGTCTCCTTATATGGCTTGGGCAATCCTCACCTCACAAGCTAGCTTTTGGGGTTGAGTTAGACCTAATGTCCATTCTTATCAAAACATTTTCCAAGTGAAATGAACGTCTAAATATAATTTCAAATTCCAAATAAAAATTTTCAACTTAATTCCAAATACTACTTATTTCAAAAATTACAATTTCATGTTCAAACGCCTATTAAATATCTACCTAATTAAATTGGGATTGAGGCACAATGTTGCGACAAAACGCAAACGCAAGTATACGTGGTCGTCAAGTAATAAAGTGATAAGATAGAGTGTCGAACCCACGAGGACTTGCTATAAACTATTAACTAAATTAACAACAAAAACAACAAGCCCAGTGAAATCCCACAAGTGGGGTCTGGGGAGGGTAAAGTGTACGCAGACCTTACCCCTACCTAATGAAGGTAGAGAGGTTGTTTCCAAAAAACCCTCGGCTCAAAGGAAATGAAAATGAAGCAATAAACAGACAGTAGCAACAACTAGGTAATTAGAACATGGACGCAAATGGAGATACGTGCAACAACAGATATCTAAGACTATGACACTATAAAAATATATGCAGTCTTGCTGGAAATAATGACACAATGCGAAATAGCAAGGGGCTAGGCATAGCAAAATACAAGACTGGTACTAATACTACTAGGATGCCTAGACGAAACTCTAGACTGTCTGTCAACCCACAATCCTAATCATCTACCTCCACACCCTCATATCGAGGTTCATGTATTCGGTAAGCTGAAGAAGCGTCATGTCCTACCTAATCACCTCACCCAATGCTTCTTAGACTTCCCTTTACCCCTCATCTATCCCACCATGGTCAACCTCTCACACCTCCTAACCGGGGCATCAGGGTCTCTTCTCTTCACATGCCCAAACCATCTCAGCCTCGATTCCCCCAACTTATCCTTTATAGAAGTCACACCCACCTTGTCCCTAATTTGCTCGTTCCTACTCTTATCTCTCCTGGTATGTCCACGCATCCATCTAAACATCCTCATTTTCACTACTTTCAATTTCTGAACATGAGATTTATTGACTGGCCAACACTAAGCTCCATACAACATGGCCGGTCTAACTACCGCTTTATAGAACTTACCCTTAAGTCTAGGTGACACATTCTTGTCACACAAAACACCAGAAGCAAGCCTCCATTTCATCCATCCCGCTCCAATACAGTGTGCAACATCCTTGTCGATCTCCCTGCTACCCTGAATCATAGACCCAAGATTTTGAAGCTATCTCTCTTGGGGATGACTTGTGTATCCAGCTTCACGTTCACTTCTGCTTCCTGGGCCCCAACACTAAACTTATACTCCAAGTACTCAGTCTTCTTCCTGCTCAACTTGAAACCTTTAGACTCCAGGTTCTGTCTCCACACCTCTAGCCTGACATTAACCCCATAACGCGTCTCATCAATCAACACTATATTATCTGCAAATGACATACACCATGGCACCTCTCCTTGAATGTGCCGCGCCAACACATCTATCGCCAGAGAAAATAAAAATGGGCTAAGAGCTGATCCTTGATGCAACCCTATCTTCATAGAGAAATAGTACGAGTCGCCTCCCAAAGTCCTTGTCCGAGTCCTAGCTCCATTGTACATGTCCTTAATCACCCTGATGTACGCTACCAGAACAATGCTAATCTCCAAACATCTCCATAAAATCTCCCTAGGGACTTTATCGTAGGCTTTTTCTAAGTTAATAAACACCATATGCAAGTCTTTCTTCCTCTCCCTATACTGTTCCATCAACCTCCTTACTAGATGAATGACTTCTGTAGTCGACCGCCTTGGCATAAAATTGAATTGGCTCTCCAAAATAGACACACTACTTCTCACCCTACTCTCAATCACCCTTTCCCAAACTTTCTTGGTGTGACTTAGCAGCTTGATACCCCTATAGTTATTGAAATTATGCATATCACCCTTGTTCTTTTACAACGGGAATATCAAACTCCACCTCCACTCTTTGGGCATCCTTTTCGTCCTAAAAATAGCATTAAACAAATCAATAAGCCACTCCAAGCCCGCTCGGCCCACGTTCTGCCAAAAATCTACCGGAATCTCGTCAGGTCCTGTCGCCCTACCCCTACTCATCTTCCACATAACCTCCTCAACCTTAATACGTCTACAACACCAGAAATCACGCTGGCTTTCCGAGTCCTCTAACATCCCAAGCTCATTGATCCTATCCCCATCCTCGTTGAAGAGTTTAGTATGTCTGCCACCTGCGTCTAATACACACCTCATCTACCAAGACCTTACCTTCCTCGTCTTTGATGCACCTCACTTGGTCAAGGTCTCGAGCCTTTCTCTCTCTAGTCTTGGCTAACCGGAACAATTTCTTATCACCGCCTCTACCCCTCAGCTCCTCATAAAAGCATTCAAATGTTGTAGTCCTAGCAGACGTGACCGCTAACTTCGCCTCTTTCTTAGCCTTCTTATAAAACTCCATATTCATCCTTCTCTTCTCCTCATCGGCGCACTTTATTAGTTTCACATACGCTGCTTTCTTGGCTTTCACGTTTCCTTGAACCTCTCCATTCTACCACCAATCCCCTTTGTGACCCCCCAGATAGCCTTTTGTGACCCTACCACCTCTCTAGAAGCTTCCTGAATGCAGCCCGCAATCATGGTCCACATATAACTAGCATCCCCGCTACTCCTCTAGGCCCCCAAAGCCGAAAACTTTTCCCCTAATACCTGAGCTTTGTCCTTAGTCAAGGTTCCCGCCTTGATCTCCGGTTGCCTGTATATTGCTCTCCTCTTCCTTTCTCTCCTAATTTCCAACTCCAGTACCAAAAGCCTATGCTAGGTTGAGAGCCACTCACTTGGTATAACCTTGTAGTCAGAGCATAAGACTCTATCACTCTTCCTGCAGGGAAGGTAATCATCTAAGACCTGGCCACCGTACTCCAGAACGTGACCAAGTGATCTTCTCTTTTCTAAAAGCCTAAATTAACAACTACCAAATCAAATGCTTTGGCGAATTCCAATAACGAGGTACCACCCTCGTTCCTAACTCCAAAACTGAACCCGCCGTTGTGATGACCCGATAGGTGATCTTAAGATTTAAAACCAAATTCTGTGTTCCAAGGCCTTTAAAACCTCATTTTATCCCTCCTCGATTTGCATGCACGGTACGGGCGTGTTTTCGGAAAGCTTTTGTGTTGAAAATTGATATAAAAAGGGAGTTTTGATTAAAAAATTCATTTCGGTTGACTTTGGTCAACATTTTTGGTAAACGGACCCGGACTCGTATTTTGACAGTCCTGGTGGGTTCGAATAAAAATATGGGATCTGGGCGTATGCCTGGAATCAGAATCGGAGGTCCCTAACTTGAGTTATGAATACGTGTCGGACCTCCGGACGAGAAAATAAAAATTTCAAAGTGTTCTTGAGAATTTTATTTGATTTGGTACTAAATTCGTAGTTCTAGGTGTTATTTTGGCAATTTGATCGCGCGAGCAAGTTCGTATGATATTTTAAGACTTGTGTGCTTGTTTGGTTTGGAGCCCCGAGGACTCGGGTGAGTTTCGGATAGGCTACGAAGTGATTTGATCTTGGAAAAGATTGTTGGTGTGTCTGATATTGTTGTAGGCCTTTGATCTCGCACTTGCGAGATCAGGCATCACAATTGCGACCTTTGAGGGGTTCGCATTTATGAGCTTCTCATCGCAAATGCAAAGAGAAGCTGGGCAAATAGTGTTCGTATTTGCGATGGGAGTCTAGGAAGGGTAGTGATCGCATATGCGATCACTAAGTCGCAATTGCGAAGATCCAGGTTCGCATTTGCGTAGGCAGCCAAGGTGTGAAGGACATCGCATTTGCGGTGGTCCCTTCGCATTTGCGAGCTTCGCAATTGCGAAGCTCAGGTCGCAAATGCGACATATGCAGCTGTGTAAAACCTAACTTAGACGGGATTTTTGCACATTTCTCCAAATTTTCAAACCAAGTTACCCTTTATGTGATTTTCCAAAGACCATTTCTTCCCCAAATCATAGGTAAGTGATTCTTAACTAGTTTCTTTCAATCTTTCATTCCATTTTACAAGATTTCAACCTAGAATCTAGGGTTTTCATTGTGGAATTGAGGATTTCTGGGTAGAAACTAGGGATTTCGAAATTTGGGGATTTAGACCTCAAATTGAGGTTGGATTCTAAAACCAGTTGTATGTCTGGGCTCGTGGGTAAATGGGTAATCGGGGTTTTGGTCCGAATTTTAGTTGTGGACCAAGCAGGCCAGGTGTTGACTTTTGTTGAATTTTTTAATAATGGCCTAAATTGAATTCTTATCGATTGTGGGTGATTCCTAAGGTTTATTTTGAAACATTTTGTTGGTAATTTTCTAGATATTGTTGGTTTGGAGGCATGTTTGAAAGGCAAAGCTGTGATTGAGCTTTGAGTGGCCTTTGGAGCGAGGTAAGTGTTGTGTGTAACCTTGACTTGAGGGAACTAGGAAACCT